CCCGCCGGCAGGCCGGTCCAACACGCCAGGCCCCCGCCCCGGGGCAGCTCTTTACGTCGCACGGGCCGTGTCGGAAGGAAGAGCCCGGTAAAAGCGCCTGATCCCCGATAAGAGCCGCATTAGGGTTCTAACCAGCCCCTCGCACAGCGCTGGGTCAGGAAGGGGCCCCTGCACAGAACAGCCGAGCACAGCAAGTTTGTGCCGCGTCGCGATGCTGCGCAGCGTCTGTGGCTTCGCTCCCTTCATCTCCAGCCAAGCCACTGTCTCCAGCTGCCTCAGACGATTGCTGAGTCTCCTAAAGGCCCAGATACATAAGAGGCTCCGAGGAGAGTTCGTGCAGCATTTCTCTCACCGCTGGTTTCTCCTCCATCTCTCTCGAAGTCCAAAGGCTTTGTGAGGTCTTCCTGTCAGCAACAGCAGTGAGGGCTTCAGCACAAGTGTCCTCTGGCTGGGGATTCCCTGCCATCCTGGCTGTCCACATCCAGCTTTGCTATCATGTGTTTGGATCTTCTTAAAAAGCAAATGAGTGCTCTGCCTGTTTTGATTTCATCTGCTTCACAAAACTGCAGTGTTGGGTGATGGCTGTAAATGACTTTGTTTCCCAAAATCCGGGCAAAGATTATTTGAATTCAGAGTTAAACACTGAAAAACTCAGAATTTAATAATATCAACCACTTTACCCGCAGACAAGGACCTCTCACGTCCTTTCTGGAGCAAATACCAGCTCTGGGTATGCTGATGGGTGTGAGTCCCATGTGTGGTGGCTGCTTCCACTGCCAGGACACACAGACATCTTTTTTGTGTCCGTTAGTCGAGGCAGGATCTGGAAACAGCACACACTGTGGAGGAGTCAGTGATTCATGCCTATGAAATCCTGGCCCAGGGAAGAGCCAGCCCTGCCAGACATGATAATGTTGTCCTCTGACAAATGGTCATAGCTTGGCCTTCTTCAGGCAGCAACATAGTTTTGTGCATTTGCTTCAGATACCGATCCCACCAGGGAAGGGTTCCCTGTCGTTCAGCCATCCATCCCACCCCCTCAGTGCTCAGCTGTCAGAGCTGGTGGGTTTTGGCCACAATTCTTCCCTTCATTGGCACTTCTGCAGAGGGACAATTACAAATAGGCATTTCCGTTTATCTCACACCTTTCAGCTGGGAGTCTAAGTACTTCACCCATATGAATCAGCCACTGCAACACCACAGTTAGATATGCCAGGGAGCACACAGGGATCACCCAGTCAGCAGTTGCTGTAACACAGCTGCTTCTTGTAATGTGGCAGATACTTAGGATTCAAGAATATCTAAACAGAAAGTTTGGACCAGCTGTTTGCAAGCTCGTTTGAGTTGTCAATCCACAAAGTAGGCTGCTAGAGGTGTGGGCCCCAATACAGCAGACTCGGGTACGGTGATGACAGACTCGCTTTTCTGAGATGCAGGCACCACATCCCCTTTGGGAAGGAGTCCAGCATGAGTCCCCAGCCCTTATCCTGGCCCACACAACTCACTGCCCTTGCCGTGGCCCTGACATAACTGTGTTTTGAGCCAGACTGGGTACAGGATGAACTAGATCAGGATTTTTTTTTTTATACAATGTCATCTTTATTTTGTTCTTAAAAACACACAGCACCAGCAGCCCCAAGTTCTCAAGACCTTGCTCTCTTGCCAACCCAGCCACTTTTCTGCAGGTCAAGGACAAGCAGCTCAGCCAGCAGAGCTTTCCTGGGAGCTGTTCTGTGGCAGAACTAAGTTACCTCCCGTTTATGTAAAGCCAGGCAATAAAAGTGCTCACATACTGCTGTCATCTTATAATCTGTGTAATCTTTATGTGAACTTTTAAAGGCATATGTGTTCGTGATTCATCCCAAAAACCTGTGGGGTAGTAGAGGCACATTAACTCAGTTCTGAAACAGCAGTGTGCTCTTCTTAAACAAGCACATCCTCAGAAACACCCACGGTGCTGACTTTCTGCCTGACATTGCTCATGTATAATTGGTTATGTCAGGTCTACTGTAAAACACTACAAAAACAGAACTCCTTCCAGAAACAATTGAATGCTGGTAATTTCCAAGTCATGTAGTATGTTTCTGGAGTTGAGGTCCTGTTTCCATGCTATAGTGGCCTCACACATTAGCTATGCAGGCCTGGTTGCTAAAGATGGGCAGCAGGTCACCTAGTTTGAGAGGTGGACCCTGCTAAAAGGTGGTTCATCCTCAGAGATGAGTCACTCCTTAAATGTGCCTGTTCCTCTCCACTGACAGAAAAGAGAATCTGGGTAAATAGCTCAGAGACTTCTACATTGCAGCTGTACCAAACAGCTGAAGGAATCTGACCTATGGCTTTGTAACTTACTGAGAGAAGATGCTGAGCTTCTGGGCCATTCAAATGAGCTAAAACCCACCCTTAAAACTAAGCTTTTACATGTTAATGTGGTATTTACCACTTGTGCAGCAATCTCAAATCCAGATTGTTGGCTAAGCAGTATCTCAAGATGCTAAATCCCACAGTTGGTGTTTTCTCTCCTTATCCTTATGTAACACAATCACCACCCAGCTACTGCGCCTGCTAGGAGGAGTTTGGAAATGGGTCCTTGCAGGCCAAGCTGAAGATGTGTTGGCAACACTGGCATGTGGGCAGTTTCCATAGCCCACAGTGCACTTTGGGCTGTAACCACTCCTGCCATTAGGCTGTCAGGATGCACTGGTGTTTGCAGTGTATGGGACAGGGGCTGTACCATTTCATTACATCTACAGCCATGGAAAACTGCCACCACCTCAGTAACTACCAGACTCATTTGAAACCCTCTTTGCTCAAGAGCAGGTAATCCCACCCTTGCCTCTCCTCCCTTTTAGGAGTGCATGAAGCTATCAAGTTCTTTTAGAGAATTTCAACATGCAGCATAAAAAATGGAGAGCTGAAGCTGCCCTGAACATAAAAAATGATAGTATGATGCAGATTGATTTGTACCACCACATCTTTCAATTGCTGGGAGACTGAATTGTGAATGAAGGTGAAGACTTGCAAAGAGCTGTTGAGTTACCTGACTCACTGCAGGCTTCATGCATTTGAAAAATCAGTGTTAAAAAAGCCTTAGCAATGAATAATAATAGTGCCTTTAATATGTTGCCTGCTCAGATGGCTCTGTGCTCCCTCCCTCCTGCCCCCAAATTCCTACCTCAATCTACACCAAAGTGTTTCTTCAAGAGGAGTAGCAATTTTTCACTTTTCCATGCATTCAGGTAGGTAGGTATCGTATTGAGCAAAGTATCTCAGTCATTTATAAGCCAAAACCTCCTGAGTTCCTTCTCTGGCTTTAAGAAGCTCAGCTTGCCCTCATGCCTCCACATGCAGTTAGAAGACACTTCTGCTGTGTGGAAATACTGTTTTCAGGGGCCCCTGCTGTCCCTTGCCCCAGACTGCAGCCCCTCCCTGCCCCTGGGAAAGTGGGCTTAGACTAACCATACAATAAGGAATCATGTCAGTGCTCCAGCTTGCAACATGGGCATCAAGCAATGTGACTGAGGGGCAACAAGCTGTGGCTGAGAGCACAGAACTGGCGATTTTAAGTAATTTTGTCACCAAAGCCAATAATGTAACATGTAGCTACATCCTTGCTTTTCTGCCCTGGGAAACGCAGCTGCAGCAGCTGCTCTCCTGATGAGCCACCCTCTCAAGTGTTCTATGTGTGTAGGTACTGTCCGCACAGCCACCTGCAGTGTTTAAATTTATATCTTGGGTGTTCATGCTAGAAATGTTGAGAACATAGTGACCCTAGAGAAGCATGGAGTGGGAGCAGAGCCTTGCAAGGTGTAGTACAGGACACAGGATGGCACAGAGGCAGTTTGTTGTTAACCTCATCTCCTAATTCTCTGTTTTTCTTTTAGTGTGGAAACAGTGAATGATGGGCAGTTTCATAGTGTGGAACTCGTGATGCTGAATCAAACTCTGAATCTGGTGGTGGACAAGGGGACTCCCAAGAGCCTAGGAAAACTCCAGAAACAGCCATCTGCCAGCCTCAACACACCCCTCTACATTGGAGGTATAGTGAGTTGCCCTAGACTTTGAGATTTTAACAAGCCTTCTCAGAAGCAAATCATCTTCCATCCTATAGAGAGGATTTTCCAGGGAGAGAAAACCAGCGGGAAATGTTTCCCATCTGCTAGAGGATGCTTCCCTGAACAGAGAGCCTGGGAACCACACCACTGCTGTTCTGCTGTCACAACTCTGTGATTCTGCAGCCCACAGCACCCCACCAGCACCCCACAGCACCCCAGCACCCCACCCCACAGCCAGCACAAGCTCACTTGGTCAGACCAGGGAAGTTAACCTTTTGCACAGGCAGTTTCTATGTCATGCAGCCATGGCAAGAGCCATCAGTTTGTCATTTCTAAAGCTTTCAGAACTAGCTGGCAGCAAGATATTGTGGCTGAAGAATACAATGGAAATATCACAAACAGTCACAGCAAAAAAAGCAAATAGTCAGTAGGTTTAAATATGCCATAAATGAGCTGAATTTCTGCTGGAAATGTTATAGGGGTCTAAAAAAAATATTGGGGGAAAAAAAAAAAAAAAAAAAGAAAAATATTAAAATCTCCAAACCATATTAACACACAAGCTGGCTAAGAAGTTCTTGGCTAATAGTTTTCTCATTGGAAACTGAAGCCAGAGCTTCAATATTAGAAATATATTTAAGAAGTTTTTTCCCATTCTGTACTGAGTTTTGGGGGAAGGAGTGGCCAAGTGGGGTTGGGAACAGATGCTCAGAATAATGAGTATCCCACTGATTAGGTGTCTGGATATGAGAGACAGAATGAATTGTGCTCTGCCCAATTGATTTGTTTTTGCCAGAACCACTCCCCACAGCCCCCAGCTTTATTCTGGACTGAATGTTGAAATCTCCTTTCAGCAACACAGAGTTCTTGAATTTTTAGTCAGCTTATTCTAAATACAAAAGTCAGCAGAACAATAATAGGCTCAGAATGTCTTCAGGCTTTGTCTAACCAGATCATTGAAGCCAACAGCAGAAACTCTTACCAACACCACTTTTTTCTGTTCAAGCCTTTTGTAAACAAGTCCCTTTAATAACACCTTTCTAAAAGAACTCTGAATGTTGCCTTTATCCATCAGAAAACTGGCTAATCTTGCTTTGTACAGAGCTGAGCTTGCAAAATTGGCTTCTATTAAGAAGGTCGCAGGCTATTAAAGAGTATTATGCATCAAGAATAATCTGCTGGTGAGGCTATCATGATTTCTCCCTCTAGCACAGCATAAAAAATACCAACCCCACAGCAACTTATACACAAGGAACTTGGGAGGTATTCATGTGGAAAAGTTGTGTTAATGGATGAGCATTGTGGATCAATACTAATTCTCAAAAGGTACCTACAAAAATGCATTCACAAGACAAATTTGGGACCTGAAATGAAGGACTATTGGATACCAGAAGCCATGGGCTCAGTGGAAATTTATTTTTTTTTTTTATTGCCCATTAAAATTCTTCTCACTTCCTTCTAAACCTTCACTGCTTTGCATGTGCCTCCTCTCTGCGTGTAGCACTCCATGGATGCTCCATCCATCTCCATGGATGCCAGCTGCCCTTCCACTTTAGACTGTTTAGTGAAAGTCATTGACTAAATTACCCCAGAGCAATTGTTCTGACCTACACTAAGCTTTAAGACAGACCTGAGCCTTCATGTGCCCACAATTTTATCCAGCTCTCCAAGTACATCACCTGGTCTAGCAACTTCCCTCCTAACACAGGGTTAAACAAATATGCTGTTTTGGTTTAAAGACCATCTTTAACAGTGGGGTTACGAATCCCGAGGCCTTGTATGGTTGGAAATTGAAGGACCTGCCTGTGCAGATGCAGCCACACAGTCCAACCAGAGGTCAGGGAGCAGGGCATAATACAACATCCAAAAGAAATCTGCTGAACTCTTCCAAGTGCTTGAAGAAGATGGAGGATCTTGCCACAAAGACTTGTCTAGGCCTCCTTAGGCACTGCCCTGCCTCTGGAGCTCCCTGCACTCCTTCCAATGGGGTGCACTTTTACCACTCCCTGTCTTAACACAATCATCTAGTAATGCCAAACTTCCTTGCTGTATCCCAGAAGTGGCAGCTACCTGCAGCCAAGTCAAGACATTCTTAAACCTTTCAGAAGGATAATTGCTATTAAACTAGACAGAAGGAGTATTATCTAAGGGCAAGAACACATGGACATTGACCAAAAAAACCCTGGGTTTTTTTCTTTGTTGTTTGGGGGGGGTGTCATGTAGTTCTTATGTCAGCTTGGGCAAGTGATTTTATTTTTGTTTCTTTCCACTTCCAGAACGAGGACAGTGAGACTGTGCTACCTCACAAAGGTCCTATGCAAATTAATTCTTTAAATATTGTAAGGGGCTGTGAGAAAAGAAATGTTAGCAATTACAATGTATGTGCTATCATTGTAACTGTGAGTAAGCCTTCCCTTTCTGTTTTAATCTGAAGGGATCCCGACCTCTACTGGATTATCTTCCATGCGCCAGGGTGCAGATAAGACACCGAGTGGTTTCCATGGATGTATTCACGATGTCCGCATCAACAACGAGCTGCAGGATTTCAAGGATTTACCACAGCAGTCACTGGGAGTTCTCCCTGGCTGCAAATCCTGTAACATCTGCAAGCACGGTATTTGCCGGTCTCTAGAGAAAACAAGTGTGATTTGTGAATGTCACCCAGGCTGGACGGGCCCCCTGTGTGACCAGGAGATTGGAGACCCATGTCTTAACCACAAGTAAGCTTGCATGAACAGACAGAAGGGTGGAGGCTTTACAGCTAATGTGTGTTTCACATTTAATCTTGTAAACCTGCATCTGGCTACTTATGGAGGTGCTGGGTTCACACATTAAATCATTGACAGTTGTGAGTCAGCATCCATGGCAACTCTCAATTTCCACTTCTGGTTCTAATGTTGCTCACTCTCCAAATGAGCTCTTCCTCCTGGAGAGTGAGCAAGGTGTTAATAGTGTAGGTCATGCTTTCAGCTGTGTCTCTAAATCTGTTAACGGGCATGGGTTACCTCTGATGTGGTGAGTGCCTGCACGTACCCAGAGCAGAGCTCTGTGTGAGCAGGAGGTGCAGGGTTTAGGGAAATGCTCACACTGGCATTGGACCTAGCATTCAGACTAACTCCCTGAAGACCACTATGCACTCCAAAGTGAACAGTTTTGCACTTCCCAGATAGCTGATGTGAAGATGACCTTCTGAAACACCCTTTTAAGGTGCAAGTTTAAAGGACAGCATGGAGTTGGCTGCCAAGGCAGCAGGAGTGCAAAGCAGTCACAGCTCAGAGGCTCGATAAGCAACATCTCCATCAGAAATGCTGGATGAGTAGCTTACTTATGGCATGGACACACGGAAACAGCCCAGACCTGCAGTCTGCACAGCTTAGTGCTGTTTCACAAGCTGATGAAGTACTTTTGTTTAAGAAGCTCCTTTGGTTGCACTATCTGTGGAAGGGGCTTTTCACAAGCACTTATTTTTTGACAGGTAAATTGACACAGTGAATAGTCAGTCTCTTAAGGGCAGGAATACAGCTTGGCAGAGGTACCATTTCAAACTTGCTTCTTGGTCTAACTCTGCAAAGTACTGAGCCCTGACAGGTGTTGAGAAGCACCTGACAGTTTACAGACCACAGGTATGAAGACCCAAGTGAAGAAACGGAGGCTCAAATGTTTCCTGGAATTTTGATGATATTATTTGTGGTTTTAGTTCCAAGTTTAAAAATGAAATGATCAACATAAGTTGGCAATTTTAAAGTACTAGAAAGAAAATAAATAAAACACAGTCCAACCAGAGGTCAGGGAGCAGGGCATAATACAACATCCAAAAGAAATCTGCTGAACTCTTCCAAGTGCTTGAAGAAGATGGAGGATCTTGCCACAAAGACTTGTCTAGGCCTCCTTAGGCACTGCCCTGCCTCTGGAGCTCCCTGCACTCCTTCCAATGGGGTGCACTTTTACCACTCCCTGTCTTAACACAATCATCTAGTAATGCCAAACTTCCTTGCTGTATCCCAGAAGTGGCAGCTACCTGCAGCCAAGTCAAGACATTCTTAAACCTTTCAGAAGGATAATTGCTATTAAACTAGACAGAAGGAGTATTATCTAAGGGCAAGAACACATGGACATTGACCAAAAAAACCCTGGGTTTTTTTCTTTGTTGTTTGGGGGGGGTGTCATGTAGTTCTTATGTCAGCTTGGGCAAGTGATTTTATTTTTGTTTCTTTCCACTTCCAGAACGAGGACAGTGAGACTGTGCTACCTCACAAAGGTCCTATGCAAATTAATTCTTTAAATATTGTAAGGGGCTGTGAGAAAAGAAATGTTAGCAATTACAATGTATGTGCTATCATTGTAACTGTGAGTAAGCCTTCCCTTTCTGTTTTAATCTGAAGGGATCCCGACCTCTACTGGATTATCTTCCATGCGCCAGGGTGCAGATAAGACACCGAGTGGTTTCCATGGATGTATTCACGATGTCCGCATCAACAACGAGCTGCAGGATTTCAAGGATTTACCACAGCAGTCACTGGGAGTTCTCCCTGGCTGCAAATCCTGTAACATCTGCAAGCACGGTATTTGCCGGTCTCTAGAGAAAACAAGTGTGATTTGTGAATGTCACCCAGGCTGGACGGGCCCCCTGTGTGACCAGGAGATTGGAGACCCATGTCTTAACCACAAGTAAGCTTGCATGAACAGACAGAAGGGTGGAGGCTTTACAGCTAATGTGTGTTTCACATTTAATCTTGTAAACCTGCATTTGGCTACTTATGGAGGTGCTGGGTTCACACATTAAATCATTGACAGTTGTGAGTCAGCATCCATGGCAACTCTCAATTTCCACTTCTGGTTCTAATGTTGCTCACTCTCCAAATGAGCTCTTCCTCCTGGAGAGTGAGCAAGGTGTTAATAGTGTAGGTCATGCTTTCAGCTGTGTCTCTAAATCTGTTAACGGGCATGGGTTACCTCTGATGTGGTGTCTGCACGTACCCAGAGCAGAGCTCTGTGTGAGCAGGAGGTGCAGGGTTTAGGGAAATGCTCACACTGGCATTGGACCCAGCATTCAGACTAACTCCCTGAAGACCACTATGCACTCCAAAGTGAACAGTTTTGCACTTCCCAGATAGCTGATGTGAAGATGACCTTCTGAAACACCCTTTTAAGGTGCAAGTTTAAAGGACAGCATGGAGTTGGCTGCCAAGGCAGCAGGAGTGCAAAGCAGTCACAGCTCAGAGGCTCAATAAGCAACATCTCCATCAGAAATGCTGGATGAGTAGCTTACTTATGGCATGGACACACGGAAACAGCCCAGACCTGCAGTCTGCACAGCTTAGTGCTGTTTCACAAGCTGATGAAGTACTTTTGTTTAAGAAGCTCCTTTGGTTGCACTATCTGTGGAAGGGGCTTTTCACAAGCACTTATTTTTTGACAGGTAAATTGACACAGTGAATAGTCAGTCTCTTAAGGGCAGGAATACAGCTTGGCAGAGGTACCATTTCAAACTTGCTTCTTGGTCTAACTCTGCAAAGTACTGAGCCCTGACAGGTGTTGAGAAGCACCTGACAGTTTACAGACCACAGGTATGAAGACCCAAGTGAAGAAACGGAGGCTCAAATGTTTCCTGGAATTTTGATGATATTATTTGTGGTTTTAGTTCCAAGTTTAAAAATGAAATGATCAACATAAGTTGGCAATTTTAAAGTACTAGAAAGAAAATAAATAAAAATAAGATAAAGACATGAGTTTACGCCAAGTAGGCCCTGGTATAGCAAAGGTTTATAAGCTCTGAGCAGTTTTTCCTTGGCTGGACAATGTTGCATTCTTCCCTGACCTCATTCCATTCCAAGTCTGTCCCCGTCCCAGAAGTGGGAATGGTGTCAAAGAACCTGCTAACCATCAACCCCCCTCCATGTGGTATTCCTCAGAAATACCAAAGCTCACTGCAAACCATGTGAGCCAGGGAATCTTTCAACTACAACTGCCAAAGTGTAAGTCTGTGCATAGCTTTTCCACAAGCACCTTCATTTATCACACTGTTTTTCATCACCTGATATTTATAGAGTAATTCTGCTAAGGAAGCCTGGGCATGCAGCTTGATTGTTGGCACTTGGTTGTGCTTGCTGCTGCTGCACACGTGAGCTGTCTCTGGTGGATGCCAAGCACTGGGCCATGCTCATGGAGGGGCCTCATGTTCAAAGAAATCACTAAGGATTGCAAATTCTAAATGTATTTTCTGAACATTGTCCAGCACTCACTGAAAACACAGTTTCTTCAGAGTGTTTGACACTGAGCGGCTGCTTTTGAATTAGTATCCTGGAACTAAAAAGGCAGAAATGCCAAAACCAAACATCCCTGGGAACAGGATCTCTCAGATCTGACACGGTCCAGCTCTAAATGCTTCTCTTTCTCCAGGTGTCTGCATGGCAAGTGCATGGCGGCCAACGTTGCTTACACCTGCAAGTGCACGGAGGGCTACACAGGCACATACTGTGACAAGAAGAACAATTCCTCAAGTCCCTGCAGGCTTTTGAAATGCAACCACGGGCAGTGTAAGGTCTCAGAGCACGGGGAAGCCTCCTGCGAGTGCGATCCCAACTACAGCGGGGAGCAGTGCGACAGAGGTAGGCGCGGCTCCTCCTGCTGGCTGCCTTCCTGCGGGCACCTCGGGCTGTAGCTCTTCCACGGGGTTGTGTTTGGGGGTAAACAGTAGAAGATAAAGCTAGGTCAGCCTCTGAGCAGAGGAGAAAAGAGCCACACCACAGCTAGCTAGCTGCTCACCAAGCAGATGGAAAGGATGACATCTGTAACGAAGGGTTTTATTCTAGAGATCGTAAACCATCAAGGTTTGCTCTTCCCAGGGTTCTGGTCAGATAAAGACATTGTTGTGGGGTTTACCCTCAGCAGACAGTGAGGGAAGCAGGTCTTACCCTAGGCTTTGCAGATGTCATGAGCAGGAGCTGGGAGGCAGGAGGTATTGCTTGTCTACAGTGGCAATATTCTCAGCTTCCTCCCCTTGAGGCAGCTGGCTGAGTTTCCTGGGGAATCCCATAGATCATGCTGGATTTTGCTGGGGTCCAGCTTTTCTGTCCTGACCTGAAAAGGCATCACTCAGTGAGTTCCCTCTTCATCCCTTCTGCCTTTTTTGTTCCTGTACTGAAGGAGAGAGCTGGCTTGTATTATTTTTATTTAGGTTGTGCCTTTCCAGCAAATGAACCACAGTCTTTCCAAATTACACCTGTACAGCCTCACCAAAATGTATCTGGCTGCTGCAGAGTGACTGCAGACGAGCACAGGCATCTGCAGGTATCCCAGATTGCTAATGTCAGGCAGAGCAGGCTGACCTTTGATCCGGAGAAGCAGGCACTGAAAACCAATTCACATTTTGAAGGAGTGTTGCAGGGTTCAACACTCAGCATTCATGAAGGCACTTCCAGAGCAGCTGATCAAAGCCAGCAGGCCGGCTTGGCTCCAGCCTGCAGCCGGATATTACACATTTGTGTAACACCGGCTCTGCTTTGATAGCAGGTACAGAGAAGAAAGCAGTAAAGGTCCTGCTCCTGCCACTTCTCTGGAAGTGCCTTACACCCTCAGGGCTGTCTGCTGGTGCCCGGGGAACAGCTGGCAAAACAGTGACATCTTTTTTGTTGTTGTTTTTTTCTTCTTTCCATCTCTGTTGTCTGCCCAGAGAATCTCTGCCAAGGAGAGATCATTCGAGAAGTCGTCCGCAAGCAGCAGGGCTACACCTCCTGTGCCACTGCCTCCAAGGTACCCCGCCTGGAATGCCGCGGGAGCTGCGGCAGCGGGCAGTGCTGCGTCCCCCTGCGCAGCAAAAGGCGGAAATACTTCTTCCAGTGTGTGGATGGCTCCACCTTCACGGAAGAACTGGAGAGACACGTGGAATGCGGCTGCTCGAAATGCTTATAAAGCCATTCTCCAGTCTCCTGCCACTTTAATCGCTATCAAAACGGGACCTATTTACTTTCAGAGTGAAGAAGAAGAAAAGAATTATTAAGTATATTGTAAAATAAACGAAAAATAGAACTTATTTTTATTATGGAAAGTGACTATTTTCATCTTTTATTATATAAAGTATCGCACCACTTTGGGTATATGTATCATATAGTGAGTTATTTTTACCATGAAACTTTTTTAACAGTTGTAAGAAAAAAAATAATCAAAAGTTGAAATTTAAAAAAAAAATAATAAATATATATATATATAAAGAAAACATAGCCTAACAGGAGAAATGAGGGGGTGACTTTCTACGTATGCACAACGAACAAATGTAAAGGTGTTCCAAGGACCCACCACCAAGTTGATCTGTGCTGAAGACATCTTCGAGGCTCAGGGGGGGGTCTCCTCCCAGAGCAGACCCCCGAGACTTGACAGCACCTGCCCAGCCCCCTGGGAAGGCCTCCCCCTGGTCCCTGCCCTGCCAGGCTCTGCCACACCAGCCTGCTCCTGTGCCATGGCTCCGCTTGCTGGTCCTGAACTGGTTCCCTGTAGCACGTAGGCACTGCTGCAGCTTGAGGCTAACGACGTTATTTGACTATTGTAATACTAGGATGCATTTTTTTTTTTCTTTGCTGTGTATGTTGTATTTATCTGTGTTCACAGTATATTCTTCAGCAACTGTATCTATAGAGCACAGGCAGCTTTATCCAAAAGAAGGGGACGAAGGGAAAGGAAGTGGGGAAATATATGTTGCTTCGGGAAATTTGGGGGGGAAAAAGTAAAATAAGTGCTAAGTAATGCCTAATAAATGACATAGTACTTTTGTGTAAATTCCTCAGCTATGTTATTTCCCAAGTTTGTGCCTTCTTGCTCCCAGCCTTGAGCCTTTTTTTGTATATGAAATATAAGGAATGCACTGCTACATATTTTGTCACACCTTGACACTTTAACTTGCAGAGGTTGTAAAGAGCAGGAAAATCTTGCCGGGGCCAGAGTGTACCTGCAATGTGATGGCTTTTAATCCTGCTGTCCCTTGAGCCCAGGGTATGAGCTGGGCTGCAGCTGCCTGATCATCCCCACTCTGGTACCAAGCAGTTGGCTACTTTTCCACAGCTTTTTAAACAAGCAAAAGTTGCACTATAGCCACGTGAAGGTGTTCAGGCAACGTCTTCCCACCTCAGCAGCCCTCTCTTCTCTGCACAAGGGAGATGTCACAGCTCCATCCCATCCTGCTCTGGCACTTGGGGCAGAAGGATCAATCCAGCCAAAGCCCTTCCCTTTGCTCCGCTGCGTGTCCTGCACTCGTGCCTCTCAAAGGACTCCTGTCAGCTTCAGCTGTGTTTGGAGCAAATGCTGAATAGGAAATGGAAGTCAATGCAGGGATAACTTCTCACTGTAAATGTGAGGCAAAAATTGACTCTGGGAGTCAGTTTCATTTTTGAAGGGTTTTTGGCAGGGCTAGCTTTCAGGGTCACTAAGTACATGCAAAGAATACCATGGATACCTTCAAGTTTCTTACTCTGTTTCAAACATCCCATCAACTGTTCCATTATGAGTGAAAAAAAAAAGATAACAAGTATTATGATCCTTTCTTCAATTCTCTTTCTCTAAGAGAGGTAAATTCAGAGATGATTCCTAGCAGCCATAAGCGGCTTTTGGGAACACTCACTGGTCTCACCCAAGTATTTCAGATCAGGGGCTTCAGCAAAAATGAGCAGGAAAGTTGAAATGGGGCTTTTGCTTGACTGGGCCTTTGGAAAGATGCACAAGATGCAACCCTGCAGCAACAAAAATAAATGTTTATTTCCCTCTAAAGAAAAGTGACCATCTATCATGCAACCAGAAAGCTCTAACGTGCTTTGCTTCCTTCTGCTAAATCTTAACTGCAGCAGGTCATTCGTATGTCTTTGTTACTACCAGAGCAACTTGAAGAGAAGGGACATAAGCAATATAAGAGCCATCTCACAACATAAATATCAGTATGTGGAGCCTGCAATCAGTGAAACATGAAACAATCAGTACTTAATGTGCCAAACTCTGAATGAAACTGTACAGCTCAAGAGCCAGGGAAAAAACCAATACTTGTTTCAAGTACTATGGGCTGCTTTTTATTTTTAATAAAACATCAGAAGCTCATAGCAGCTGGAGTTTGTGATGTACAACAGAAATCACCCAAACCCACAAGCTACAGGCTTTAAAAATTCATGCAAGTAACTGCAGACACTTGTCTGAATGTGTGCCTGGCACACCACTGCCATTAATGTTTGTTCCTGCTTAAAAACACACTGCTGTCTAAAGAAGCAGGTGCTATGATGCCAAGCAGGGGAAAACCAGGCCAAGCAGTAGCTTACAAGCCCTTCTCCAGCCCTCCTCTACTGCACAATTTGTAGCCACTGAACTGCCAAGGTCTGCAGAAACATGGGCCCTCCTGAACACCACCCAAACCATGTTAACTTTGTCCCTTGAGCAGCAACCTGTGTGAGAAAGAAGGTGACAGTGACTCGTGGCCTCACACCTGCTGGAGGCTGCTGACAGAGCATGGCCTTGACTGGCCAGGCAAGAACCACCAACACCACTCTGGGATTTATTTAAGTGAGGCCGTGCAGCAAAGTGACCAGCAACAACTCAGCAAGGCTGGCCCTGTTCCTGGCCCTTTTCTGTCATGGCACTTCAGTGTTAAGCGCTAGGATAAAGAATTAAAAATATCTATTTTGTAACCAAATGATGCAATTTTTGTATGCTTTTAGGCAGCACTTGCCATTGGATAGTGATGCTTTATGTCAATGATTCTCTGACTTGCTGTATAATTGTTATATGTTAAAAAGAAAATAAAAAGCATTCAGATGTGCCAAAAATGTGAGGTTAACTGAAGTGTAATTAGCTCTGAAAGTTCCTCTGTAACCTGCCTCATGTTACAACCGATTTCAAGAACTGCGGGTACAATGCAGTAGTTTTTACCTCTATAAAGTTTTAATATAAAGTGAAGAAAGATGCTTACCCTTAAAAAATGGCAATGCAGACTGGTGTGAACTGATGTATTTTATTAATAGATTCTTTTTGTGATGTAAGTTTAAATAAATTGTTGGGTTACGGAAGATCGTAACATACCTTGTGATGAGGCTTATTTCTATGTGTATTTGAGGTGTTGAGTCTGACCTTTTGGACACGAGGTGGCTCAGGGAAAATCATGAGAGAATTACACGTTCTTCTTGAATAAATCTAGCCAGAGAGTGGCTGTAGTTACATGTACTGTGACCAGCGTCCGTATTTTTATGGAACCCCAACCTAATATTTTAGGAGTCTTAGATGCACAGATTATTTCAGCCACGTAGTTTTTGAGCCTGGACATTTTCTTCAGTGAAACACTTCATTTGCTGCTGTTTTTTTGATTGTTTTTTTTTGTTTGTTTTGTTTTTAACTGTTAGAGGGAGGTCTGCACCAAAACTACACAACTGGGGACAGAGGTCTGGAAGTCCCACAGCCAAGAGGGCATGACAGGAATCTTGTGATGCCTTGACACATATATTCCAGATTTGCTGCCTCACCTCTGTATCTGATTCGATTAGTGACCCAGATGGAATAAACCTCCTCCAGCCCTTGCTTTACAGCCTCAGCACAGAAGAAAACAAAGCTCACACCTAGTTCTCACCTTCCCCTCACCCCTGCCCCTCTGTAATGCTCATATATTGCTAATTATGCTTCAGACTGCAGCTCTTAGAGTTGCCTTTGCCATTCCATGAAAAACTAGTGACAGCACTCAGCCAATAAAAGCATTCAACCTTAATGAGCATCATTATGCCTGAACTATGAAGGTTAATTATATAATTGTAGCAGATGGTAGCATTTTCACCTAAAGCAAACCCAGCTGAGCCCACTAAAAAAGCTAGCAGGAACTGTTCATAAATTTCTAGGCACTGGCTGAAGTAGCTGGTTTGCACAAGTTGCTTGTGGCTTTGCAGCAGGTGGTTCCCTCAGCGAGCATGTCAGCGACTGCAGCCCAAGGACAAAATGCTCTTTGTGCACCTGCTGGTGATGCTCTAGGTACTGCTTTTTAGCCATTGGTCTGAGGCAAAACACGCTGAGAAACTCTAAGGTGTTCCTTTGGCTTTGTTTTTTTCCTGGTTAGCAGAGAATAGTTAGATGGTGCTGCTGCTTTTCAGAGTGTTTGGCTGTGGGGTTTTGCGTCGTTCTCCGGGGGTCCTGTCACCGCTGTTCTGTTCTCCGGGGGTCCTGTCACCGCTGTTCTCTGCGACCTCTTGTACAAGTTCAGCTTACACAGAACAGCCTCTTGGCTCAGTGGGTGGCCAGGCAGGGTTGGCTTCGTTTTGCCAAGACCAAGGTGCTCTCGAGTAACCAACCCCTTCAGCTCAAGGCCCGGTGAGATGTTGGGCTGGATCGCCGGCTGACAAGCCCGGTGCTGTTCTGTGTGAGCGGAGCCCGGACGCGTCCCGGGACTGCACGCGCCCCCAGCCCGCCCGGCGCTGCGCGGGATCCGCCAGCAGGTGGCGCCGCAGAGCGCGGCCCGGCCCGCGGGGGACGGGATGGGGGGAACTGGGATAGACTGGGATAGACTAGACAGAACAGGCAGACTTAGACCCTCTCAGCTGGAAGGGCCTACAGTGATCATCTATTCCAACTGCCTGAGCAATTCAGGGCTGACCCAAAGTTAAAGCGTGTTATCCGGGGCGTTTTCCAAACGCTTCTCCCACATTGATGGGCTTGGGGTATTGACCAGCTCTCCAGGTAAGCCTGGTCAGGGCTTGGCCACCCCCTCGGGTGGCTTGAAACTCATGGGAAATCAGTCCCATCACATTTTAGGTGGTCTGATCACCCAGCTAATCTTCCACCAGCAGCATTTCACCAGGCAACTCCTCTGCCAGGACCCCCTGACAGGACGGGTGAATCTGGACCCAGTGCCTCTCCAGGCTGATGGCCACGTGCTGCTATCCCTGCCTTGGCACCTTTCTCCTGGCCCACCACCTTGTCTCTGGTGCTGAGACCCAGATCCTGCACTAGCTTAGCAGAGGAAAAAGACAGAAATTAGGCAGAGATGTCCCCAGTCTGGCAAAGTGGCAATAGGCTTTGGCCTGGGGCAGGGCTATTCCCCAGCCTCATCCTTGGAAATAGTGTCATCTGACACTTAAAAATATGGCATAAAAAATAGCATGAGGCAGACAACAAACAGGACATTTTCCCTTGAGGAAATGG